TGCCTGGCTAGAAGCAATATATTTTAAGCCAGCTATCACCACTGTCCAAATGTGAAGCATCAAAGGCCAAAATTGCAATAGTTATAGTGGAGGTGGGGGAATAAAATTTAAACTTTGAAATGTTTATCAAACAGAATTATAAGAAATGATGGAAAGGGAGGAATTTCAGATTTAGCAAGGGTACTAGTTCAGGCAAGGGGTGAATACTAGGTTTGGGGAAAATGGAAATGATAAAGTCATCCAGGGAGATGCTGCATTTGTGGCTATGATAGTGCATCTGAGTGGAATTATCCTATGATGACTAGAAAAGGTAAACTGGCAAAAAAGGTCATGCCTCAAAGAATGGATTTAGGTAACATCTGCACAGAGAAACTATCACTTGGGTGAATGTGTTAGCTAGTATTGTGTTACTATGACAAAATACCTGAGACAATCAACATTTAAGGAGAAAAGGGTTTTTTTTGGCTCATCATTTCAGAGTTTGCAGTCCACATGGTCAGTTGACTCTGCCAGTTTTGGACGTGTGATGAGACAGTATATCACAGCAGGCTGGGGTCCCCTTCAGTGGCACATCCATGATGCTCCAATTTCCTTCCACTCAGCCTCCCCTCTTCAGTATCCCTCCGCCCTCCAATTTATCATGGGTTGGTGACCAACTCTTTAACACGTGGACCTTTGGGGGCTACTTATGTAAACCACAGCACTGAGTAAAAGATAAGAAGGAATCTGGGGTCTGACTAAAGAATTAATGTAAGAAAGAAATGTCTAAAGAGATATTAAAGAAAACAAAAAAAAGTATGGGGAGGGTCACAGGACTTAAAAATCTCATAGTCAGAAGTATGAAGTACTACATAGGGAGCAAGGATGAGGAATCTGAAAAGAAAATTGATAAATGGCTACTGAAGTCCACTGGATGAACGAGGCAGATTTCAGAGGCTCCCATAAATAGGATAGTAACTAAACAAGGCAAGGATATCATGAAAACACTTTTTCCAAATAGAACTTGTTCATTAATGACTATAGTATGAAAGAATTGGTGGATTTGAGATGCATCAGAAGGGAGTATGTTGCCTCCTGTAAAATTTCCTTATCTCTAGGCTCATCTATGTCATTACATCCTCTGAATCAGTGCAGAAAATGCATATCCTCTTTCTAAAGACCTCTCTGGGTTCCTTGTTGCCAGCAAAACCCCCAATACTTATAACACAACAGACTAGATGCTTTTTACTGTGGTTCTAAATTCCCTCTCTCATGTCATCATCTTCTGTCACGCAAGGCACAGGAGAGCTTGCATTTTTCCAGGTCAGATCTTTTTACACATTGCTCTCCTGCCTGGAAATCCCTTTCCCCATCTCTTCCATGGAAAATTCTAATACATCCTTCAACACTGGGCTCAAATGTCACCTCTTTTCTGAGGTCTTTCCTGCCTCCCCTAGCCCAGTGCAAGTCTCCTTTTCTGTGTCTTTAACTGTAAGTTGTTCATTCATATCTTTGTCTTAGCATCCTGAATTTTAAATCATCTGTTTCCTTAGCTGTATTATCCGTTAGACTATGTGACCCCTGAACACAAGGACTGTCTTTTTTGTTTTAATCACCAAGGCTGTCACAAAACAAATTCTTAACTAAAAACATGAGGAATGAATGAATGTTAATGTAAGGGAATATATATTGAAGTATATAAGATCGAAATGAAGAAGTGTTTTACTCCAAAAAGGGTACAGTTTCCTCTCTGCTCTCTTTCTTAAAACTATCTATAATCACACGTAATACATGCAACATGTGAACTGAGCACTCGGTATGCATTCTGCTACAGTTGTCGTATATTAGAAACTGGCTTTGGAGTTCAGCAAGTCTCTGCTTCAGATGCAAACTCATATTTTAAAAGTGGACTGAATTTAAGTGTATTTTTCTGAATCTGAGTTTCTAATTGGTCAAATGAAGACAACACATATTTACATATATTTAGTAATATGGTGTAAGGATTAAATTGACAAAATATAGACTAAATTTGGTAACTAGCACTTAGTCATCACCAGTGTTTACTGTTACTTCCAGCTCCTGTCATTGTGACCCAGATCTCTTAGTTTCTCTTTGTTCATAGATTTGGCTTCCTTGAAACTTTAATTCACCATTTAAGAAAGTTTTTGTTCATTTTTAAGATAAATTTTGAAATTAGGAAAATTACGCTGTAGTCTATCTTTATGTAGCAGAGTTTCATCTGTCTAAATCATGCTACCTGTTCCCGGTACCGGAAAAATCCCCGCCCCCAAAATAAATCATGCTACCTGATTAATAATACTCAATCCTGGCATCATATAAGTTCAACAAAAATCAAGAATTAAATACATTGGTTGATTTATTTAGGGTCACAATTAAATCTGGATTGTTTATAAGGCTCCAAATAACTTCCTTGCAAAGGAAGCCCCAGTGTTGAGGCTCGCTAAGCTGGATCTAAGGATGCCCTTTTTGTCTTATCTTTAGGACTTGATTGCCCTGAGTGGTTTAGATCACACCCCCCCACACACACACCTTTTTTCAGAATTTCTGTGGTTAATAAAAACATGTGCTTACAGGTTTTCCTTTTTTTTTTTTTTTTGCATAGATAAAGGAAAGGATTCCACATCAGATTTAGATCAAGAGATAGATTTTCAGGAGAAAATGATGAATCTGTCCTCTGGGAGCAGTGGAATGTAGCATGTTCTGTCTCTAAGTGATTGAGTTTATGGCAATAAAGAACCCTTCCACGCCCACACCCACGCGGAGATACAAACAGTGGTCATCCTGCTGCCTTTCTTAAGTTTAGATGCTGTTTAGATGCTGCCTTTCCCCCTAGTCTCATTTCTAAAGTGTATATGTTGTTTTCCATAGCTTGAAATAAATCCCTCTCTTTTGCCCAGTGGTGAAAAGCTTGTATAAATACTAAAACTTCAACTATTCCCCTGAGTTCTCTGCTAGCTGTCTGCAGTCATGGGTTTGTTTGGATACTGACGTGCATTCTCTGTGCAGATCTTTTAGGCCACTTGGGTGAGTCCAGTGGAGATAAATTTGCTTGTCTTGAAAATTTACCAGACTAACCATTATAACACTCTATTTATGAAAACTGAAATAATTGACACCCTTATTGGAAAGGCTCCAGATTCAAAGAATCTCTTTTATTCTTTCAGCATGTATCATTCTGATGATAAACATCTATGTATATTTTAGGAAGTCATGGCTAGGAGATGATGTTAACAGTCATGTGAATGTGAAGATTAGAAGCAAGAATTTTAACCTTGAATCATGATATTCCCAAGAATATTTTTTATCTTTAAGAGGATTTTATTGTGTACTAAATGGGGATAGTGAACATTACTGGGACAAAATCCGTGTATAGTGAAAAGTCTATCTGTCAAATTGGACAGGAAAGCTGGGCTTGGTGGCGCACACCTGTAATCCCAGCACTCGGGAAGCTGAGGCAGAAGGATTGTTGCGAGTTTGATACCAGCCTGGGCTACAAAATGAGCTCAAGGCCAGCCTGAACATAGTAAGAACCTGTCTCAAAAAAAAAAAAAAAAAAAAAAAAAAATTGGAGAGGAAAAGGTAACACTATTTAAATATAAGAATCAATGCTTTGTGTATAGAATATACTCACTAAATACATGTGTAGATAGGACAAATTAGATTCCTAGTGAAATGTAACACTTCATTGAAAATGTTTATTTTCTCTTTATGTAAAAATTTATGTGATTCAACATCATTGTTCATATAGTCTTCTTTGGAGAATCCATCAATTTAATTTTTCCTTTTCACTTTTCTTTTCATCTTTATTCATCTTTATCTACCAGATGTCAATTAAAGGAGAGCCCTCCATGTATGTAATGACATTGTTTCTGTGCTATTTTTAATGATGAAAGAAGTGTATTTCTCCAATATATCTCTCTTATGGAGTCTGTAGATCTGAGATAATTCTGGTTATGTATAAGAGAATAGAATAGGATATCATGAATTAAATGTTTCAACCACTAGTATTTTAGATTAGTAACGCATTTTATCTCTTGGCAATAATCTGCTTTAACTAGTATTTTTAAAAATTCTCTTTTATCAGCTAGATTATTAATTACTAACAGTAATTCGCTATTTAGACAATCATTCTAAAATTTTTCATATATTAGAAATAATGATTGTGTTGAGTTGTCTCTAAGGATCTAAGATTTTGCTTCTGTGTTTCCTGTTTTAACAGAGAAGAAATAAAAGATATTAGATTTCATTGATCAATTAACTCCTTTTCTGTAAGAACTAATAGAAAAAAAATTAAAAGAAATTAATGTGCTTTTCTGTCTAAGTTCAATTTTAAACAATAGAAGAGACAAAACAGAGGTAAAGGACATGCATGAATTTGGATTTTGTTAACAAGCGAAAATATTCGTCTTTTCCAAGTATAGAGTTCGAATTCATAAATTATGATGCAAATAAATAAATAGCTAATGTTGAGTTTTAGGTCATTGGTTGTGGTTGTTAATTCTTTTGTACTTTACACATTTCTTTCTTTTAAAACAGCTGTATTTATTTTTTAGAGTATCAGTGTCTACCCTAACCTGATACTGTACCTGAGACCTAAAAGACATTTAGCTTCATGACTTCATGCTCAAATTGTGTTTTATTATTATTATTATTATTATTATATTAGTACATTTTTCAACACTACATTTGGAACTCAGTTAATACTGTTTTCTGCCAGTGCTTCTTTTCCAGCAGACTCTGCCAAAGGATATATATACAAAGAGGAGGAATTATACCTTTAATAGTCAGTTTTTAAATCCTGAGGCCTGGGTGGCTGCTTTTACCACCGTAGGTCATACACGTTATTTCATATAGACAATTTTCCCTCAATTCCCAGAGTAAAGAAGGCCTAAGAAACATATTTTGTCCAGTTAGTTACTTGGAAATGGTGGCACACGAGAGAAGAGGTCGTGTTACATTTTTTAGAGCTTGAACTTGCATCCTTTTTGGTCTGTTCCCAGGTTTGAAGAAGAAACGACTGCCACGTGGTTGTGTCTCTTTGAAGGCTGTGGAATCCCTTATGGCCCAATCAACAACATGAAGGGTGTATTTGCAGAACCCCAGGTTTGATTTTTGAAGTTTTTGGTTGCTTCTATTTCCTATCCAGACTGATTCATATAAACATATATTAGCCATTGATCTTAAGCTTTAAGCCACATAATATGACTTCATTGATATGTTCGAATATGAAATGAATCTGCGTTTAGAATTGGCTGTCTGTAAACATACTATTTTTGATCTGTTAGATGTAATATATTCTCTCATCAGCCACTACAGAAATATAGACAATTGAGAGGCTGGAATCAGGCTGTCAGAGAATTTTTTGTAGAAAGAAATATGAGAAATTTCAGTTGCAGGTCATCTCTGATCGTATGGTTGTCTTAAAATGTACAAAGCAAGTCATGTTTAATTCTGGAAATTAGAAGTTTTCGTATGCTTTGATTAAAGTATGTTATTTGTGCAGCATAAATTTCACCTGAATAGAGACTTACACTATACATTGATTTCGAACCTCCTTCTTGGGGCCCAGGAAGAAGGTTTAGCCCCAAAAAATAATTTCTTGTGTAGCATTGTTCACATGATTATTTTTATTTTTTATTTCTTATTTTTTATTTTTTATTTTTTTTTTGAGGGGGGGTTTTCACCCGTTCCGGGAACCGGACTCACGACCTTGCACTTGCCAGGCAGGCGCTTTGCTGCTGAGCTAAATCCCCAGCGCATGATTATTTTTAGATGATGTCAAAATACCAAGTTTTGATATTATTATTTCAATCAACATAATGACAAGCAATTTACCATATCTTAGATTCACATGTTAACCTCCAAATGTATAGGAACTTTATTTTTCTGTGTAGATTTTGCTATGATTATTCACATATCTTGTCAATTTCCAACATTTTGAAACTATAGAATTTTTTTCTTGGGCTTTTTATATTTATGTGTTGGAAGGTTTTTATTTGAAATGAATTATTAAAAACAGAGCATAGCTTTTGAGGGAGAACTTTATGTAAAACCAATCTTTGTAACTTTGGTACCTTCAACTTACATCAGTGCCTGTTTAAAATGAAATGGGAGTATATTTAATTCAGTAGTTATAATATTTACTGCAGAGAAAGATGACTGAATTCATGAATTCTGCTCTGTGATGTTTTTCTGCTGAGATCATGAGTTTTTGTTCATAATAAAACAATGGTCAGTATGGACATGGGATAACAGGGCCCACCTTGTGTGTTGTGTGAGTTCGAGAGGGATCACAAGCTCAGTGGATTAATGCCTGGGGATGTCTTGCGAGGAGGTGGTAGTACGCACACCCCAAATATAGACGGAAGGCTGGTTTTTGCACACTGTAACTTTGAATCAGAATGACCCATCGCTTTAAGCTGTTGTACGTTGCAGTGGGTAGGATTTCACATTTATCTCAACTTGAAGGCACATTTTCCTCGAGATATTTCCTGAGAGTTTTTCAATCATCATTTCTGTTGCTTTATCTATGTTTGATTATATGTAAAGCCACCAAAGGAAGGAATTAGTCTTAAATGTTCATAGGTATGTTCTAATAGGACCTATTTTCTTTTAGACTCTGATAATGACCTAAAGTTCTACCTGCTACCTTAAAATTGTGCATATCATGGGCTGGTCAGAGCAAATATAGGCTAAGTAGGATTTTCATACCTCATTTTCCCTTGTAGTTCAGTTTAATTACCGCAAGAGAACTTTAATTATTAGTTTGGATATCTGAAATGGTTTGGACCCATAAAGAAGTTTCTATTTTTTGCCCATGGCATGTATTCATACTTAGTTTACTTAGCAAATGGAGAATATTTATATTGCCTAAATTAGAATACCATCTTTTCATACTACCCCCAAACTTTCTACAGAGTGCCCTCTTACCCACCTGAGTGGATTTAAATTGTTATACTTTTAATATCAAAATTATCTAATTATACTGTGATTGTTATTGACAATTGTACCCTTGGAGAAAGAGGAACATTGTTCTCTTTCATGCATAGTTTCATTTTTCTTTAGAATTTAAATCCCAAAATACATACATGCAATTTATTTGGACTTTTAGAAAGACTGCAATTATATACTACTATTACATTTTGAAAATAAGCAAAGGTGACTGGAAATTTTAAATATTCCAATTGTGCTCCATGCAAGAGGCAAGGGAGCCATCTTTCTCTTATACTTGGAAGTGTTTATAACCTTTTAGAAAGAATTCTACAACATTCTGAATTTTAAAAGGAATGTGTAAAGTGGAAAAATCAGAAAATTAGATTATTGAAATAACCTAAAGAGGACCTCTAAAAATGACTATGGAGAAAGTTCTTTCATTTATTCATGAAGCCTTTAGTGAATTTATTATATACCAGGTGTTAGAGATTTAATATGAGTTTAGTCTTCTTTGCATCTCTGAAAAACAAATTAAAAATTGATTTACACAGCAAGTACATGATAAATATTTATGTATGTGTGAATCAGTAAATGAATAAGTTGGTTACCTGTGAAAGTGTAGGTTTTCCAAATGATTAAGTGGCTCCTGTACCTCAATGGGTGCTGACAAACCATCTTTAGAGCCAGTGGAATAGTTCTCAGTAATCTCTGGGGCTGGGCGGAGGGGCTGAACATAACGTAATGGTTAAGAACACAATGTCGAAATTGCTGGACAGTTTTATAAACTTTCGAGGCTTTAGTGTCTTGAACTGTAAAATGGTAAAATAGGATCATATCTCTGTACTGCTGAGAGTATAAAACAAGATATTTATTAAGGGAATAGCACAGAGATTGTTAGATGGTAGATTCTCGGTGCATAGATTGCATTATGATGGTGGACTGTATGGTTGTATTCTTGATACACACACCTTTGTCACTTACCTTCCTAGTGGATAGAAGCACACCCAGTGTAGCCACTGGGCTGGGGATCATTTACATAACATCACACTTTACTATCCTCTTGAGAAGAAGCATCCTTGCCTTGCGCCAGGAAGGTCTCAACTCTTCATCATTTCCGATTACTGAAACCCTATTCCTTTTCATTTTCCATAAAAGTTTTTGCAAGTATGATTTCCATTTGAGGGGGCCAACCTTGCTTTCCTCTGATGAGCTGCAGAGTTTCTTGGCCCTGGGTACAAGGAACGGGCCACTTGTGCTCAGATGTGGGAACACGGGGCTGGCGCAGCGGCAGGCTCTCCGTGTGCGTGCTCTGCCAGCACAGCTGCTCATTCAACTGGAAATTACTTTGGGTGAAGTACAAGGCCTGGAACATGGCGCAGGAAGGAAGGCTTTGATGAAGCGGAAAGGGGTATGTCCAGCCCGGGGAGAAAAAGACTGTTGGGACCCTCAAGGAATGAAAAAGAATTTTGTATGCCTACTTATCAAGTAGATCATTTATATTTTATTTGTGTCTTGAAAAACTTGGTAGGCAACAAAAATGTATTTGATGGTAGAAACTATTGCTAATCTTACCTAACAATTTCATCATAGAGTCATGTTCCAAGAAAACTTGATTTTTTTAAAACTGAAGTGAAACAACAGATGATACATGTTTTCTGGATAGATGGAGGATTGTCTACCTTTTATCCTCTGATTAAATGCTACAGACTTACAGTTAAACTCAACCCTCAATCATCCATTGTTAAGTCACTCAAGAATACTACAGGGGCTTTTGTTCTGCATTTCCTGATAGGTCTGAGAAGTTTTGACTCAAAATAGTATGGTAGTTTTATTGTCTTTCCTCCCTCAATGACAGATTATCTGGGGAAAGCTCTGTGCATTATACAGCATAATATAGATTATCTGCATGTAGATTTTAATAGCCAGTCATTTTTCCAAGTGCTTTCTTAAAATATCTTCTTTTAATCAGGCCAAGATTGTGCAGTACATTAAAGGAATTCTTAAAAAGTTTCAAAAAATTACTAGATGACCTCAGTATGGTCCTATTTAACATACTCTTGGGAACATGTGCATGAAATACATTGTGGTTTGAGGGTTTCCAACCCAAACAAACTTAAAAGAAAATGCAGCTTTTAATAGAAACTTTTCAAATTCCTGTGAATATAGGTATGGATTTCACCACTGAGAGGGTTGAAAGCATCATTATCTACACAGAGTATCACAAGAGAATGCGCCAGACTGCTTTCAGGATTTCACTTCCTAAGGGCGTATATTTGCTTATTCTACTGTATCATCATCTGTATTGAACTGCTCATTTAAAAAATATTAATGATCAGAGCTTTTGATTAGTATCTTTTTGTCCTGGATGTCATGACCTGAGAGTGGGGAAGAAGGGCAAAGGATGTCACAAAACTGGTGTTATTTACCAAAATCTTCCCATTTGTACCACACAAGTTGAATAATCAGGTGTAAGACATAACCTTGAAGCATCACTTCTGAGAACTATGGGGCGGGAAGTATCAGAATTATTGAAATATCACAGCTGGCCCCGAGTATTACTGGTGCCAAACACCTGCAGGCTCTAAAAGGATACCAAAACAAAACTCCACCCTGTGGAAGCAAGCCATCCCTTAACAACCCTTCCTTAACTTTGCATCACCATCAAAATTAACTTAACATTTTCTACGGAAACCGTATTCTTCCTGTCCCAGAAGGTCATTACAACTCCTGTTGCAAATATTTCATATGGGATAAATATGTCAGAGAAAGAGAGTGAAGTATTGAAATATTTGATGGCTGAAAATTATCTGTTGTTTTCATCTCATTATTTGTGGAAGCCTGTGAAGTTGGAGGTTTTAATAATCTCTAGGTTAGTTCATATTCTCTAAGTGATTTTGTTTTAGCATATTTTGGCAAAATATCTGAGTATCTGGGAAAAAAGCCCTTCAATATTCATATAAGTGTCAAAGGCACCCCAAAATCTACAGCTGTCAGTAAGCATGAAAAGCACCCTAAAGTGCAGAGCTATTTTTCAAACCCTTTTTTACTACACACACACACACACACACACACAAACACACGTACACTACTGACACATTTTAAAGATCGATCACCTTTGGATGACATTAGTTAATATTTGTTGAAATGCAGTTGCACAGCTCTCTGGGAGT